TCTGACTTCGGCTCAGGTCATGATCTCGTGGTCCAGGAGTTCGGGCCCCCGCGTCCAGCTCTGTGCTGACAGCTCGGAGCCTGGAGCCTACTTCGGATTCTGTGTCTCCTTCTCTTGGCCCCTCCCCCACTTGTGCTCTGTCTCTCTCACTCTCAAAAATGAATAAATGTTAAAAAAAAAAAAAATTTAAGAAATGCTGTAAATGGGGGCACACGAGTGGCTCAGTCAGTTAAGCATCCCACTTCGACTCAGGTCATGATCCCACGGTTCTTGAGTTGGAGCCCAGTGTGGGGCTCTGTGCTGACAGTTCAGAACCTGGAGCCTGCTTCCAATTCTGTGTCTCCCTCTCTCTCTGCCCCTCTCCCACTCACGATCTGTCTCTCTCTCTCAAAAATAAATAAGAGAGAGCCAGTTTCTACCTTGCAAACAGCCTTAGGAGTGAAGATGGGCGTTTTCAGAGTTGTGCAACTTTCTCCAGACCAGAGCTATGTGCACACTCGTGTGCCTTGGGGGGAGGGGAGCCAGCCCTGAGGCTCGGTAGCGATCTCAGCAGAAAGGTGGGTGCTCTGGGAGAGAGCAATACCTTCCCTTGAGTACTGTGGGAAGAAGGTGGCACTATTCCAGAATCTGCCTCTCTCTCTCTCAAAAATAAACAAACATTAAAAACTTAAGAAAAAAAAAGAAAAAAATGCTGTAAATGAGATGCAAAATAAACTAGATGCAGTGACAGCAAGGATGGAAGAAGCAGAGGGGAGGATAGGTGAAGTAGAAGATAAAATTATGGAAAATGATGAAGCTGAGAAAAAGAGGGACAGGAAATTATTAGACTACAAGGGGAGAATTAGAGACCTAAGTGATTCAATGAAAACGTACTAATATCCCTATCATAGGAGTTCCAGAAGAAGAAGAGAGACACAAGGGGGCAGAAAGTTTATTTGAACAAATTATAGCTGAGAACTTCCCTAATCTGAGGAAGGAAGCAGACATCCAAGGCCAGAAGCCACGAAGAACTCCCTTCAAAATCAACAAAAACTGATCACCAATATATCATAGTGAAACTGGCAAAATACAAAGATAAAGGGAGAATTCTGAAAGCAGCTAGGGACAAATGGGCCTTAACCTACAAGGGTAGACACATAAGGGTAATAGCAGACCTGTCCACTGAAACTTGGCAGGCCAGAAGGGAGTGGCAGGAAATATTCAATGCGCTAAATAGGAAAAATATGCAGCCAAGAATCCTTTATCCAGCAAGGCTGTCATTCAGAATAGAAGGAAAGACAAAAGCTTTCCCAGACAAACAAAAACTAAAGGAGTTCATGACTACTAAACCAGCCCTGCAGGAGATCCTGAGGGGAACTCTGTGAGTGGAAAGTAGCAAAGATCACAAAGGACCAGAGACATCACTACAGGCACAAAAACCTACAGATAACACAATGACACTAAATCCCTAACTGTCAATAATTACTCTGACTGTAAATGGACTAAATGACCCAATCAAAAGACACAGGGTATCAAAACAGATAAAAAAAAACCCAAGATCCATCTATATGCTACCCGTTAGAGACTCATTTTAGACCTGAGGACACGTAAATATTCAGAGTGAGGGGATGGAAAATGCTACTAGATGTCAAAAGAAACCCAGAGTAGCCATACTTATATCAGACAAACTAGATTTTAAACCAAAGACTAACAAGAAATGAAGAAGGGCATTATATCATAATTAAGGGGTCTATCCATCAAGAAAAGCTAACAATTGTAAATGTTTATGCCCCCAACGTGGAAATCCCAAATATATAAATCACAAACATAAGCAAACGTATTGACAATAATACTGTAATTGTAGGTGACTTTAATACCCCAATTGTAGCACTAGACAGGTCATCTAGGCAGGAAATCAATAAGGAAACAATAGTCTTGAATGAATGATACACTGGACCAGATGGACTTAACAGATATATTCAGAACTTTTCATCCAAAAGCAGCAGAATACACATTCTTCTCAAGTGCACATAGAACATTCTCCAAAACAGATCACATACTGGGTCACAAAACAGCCCTCAACAAATATAAAAGGACTGAGATCATACCATGCATATTTTCAGATCACAATGCTATGAAACTTGAAATCCACCAAAGAAAAAATTTGGAGAGCCTCCAAATACATGGGGGTTACAGAACATCCTACTAAAGAATGAATGGGTCAACCACGAAATTAAAGAAATTATAAAATATATGGAAGCAAATGAAAATAACACGAGTCCAAACGCTTTGGGATGCAGCAAAGGCAGTCCTAAGAGGAAAATACATTGCAATCCAGACCTATCTCAAGAAGCAAGAAAGATCCCAACACAGAATCTAACCTCACATCTAAAAGAACTAGAAACAGAGCAGCTAAGAAAACCCAAAGCCAGCAGAAGAAGAGAAATAATAAAGATTAGAGCAGAAATTAAAAATATATAGAATGCAAAAAAACAGAACAGATCAATGAATCTGAGACCTGGTTCTTTGAAAGAATAAACAAAATTGATAACCCCCTAGCCAGACTTCTCACAAAGAAAAGAGTGACGACCCAAACAGATAAAATCATGAATGAAAAAGGAGAGATCAGACCCAACACCACAGAAATACAATTATTAGAGAATACTATGAAAAACTATATGCCAACAAACTAGACAATCTGGAAGAAATGGACAAATTCCTAGGCACTCACACACCACCAAAACTCAAATGGGAAGAAATAGAAAATTTGAACAGACCCATAATCAGCAAAGAAGTTGAACTGGTTATCAAAAATCTTCCAACAAATAGAGAGTCCTGGGTCAGATTGCTTCCCAGGGGAATTCTACCAGACATTTAAAGCAGAGTTAATACCTATTCTTCTCAAGCTGTTCCAAAAGATAGAAACAGAAGGAAAGCCTCTAGACTCATTCTCTGAAGCCAGCATTACCTTCATTCTCAAAGACCCCATTAAAAAGGAGAATTATAGGTCAATATCCCTGATGAACATGGGTGTAAAAATTCTCAACAAGATACTAGCAAATCAAATTCAACAATATTATTGAGAATTAATAAAAACTCTCAAGAAAGTCAGGATAGAAGGAACATACCTTAACATCATAAAAGCCATATATGAAGTGCCCACAGATAATATCCTCGATGGGGAAGAACTGAAAGCTTTCCCCCTGAGATCAGGAACACGACAGGGATGTCCCCTCTTACCACTGTTGTTTAATGTAGTGTTGGAAGTGCTAGTCTCAGCAATCAGACAACAAAATGAAATAAAAGGCATCCAAATTGGCAAAGAAATCAAACTTTCACTTTTCATACATGACATGATACTCTAAATGGAAAACCCGAAAGACGCCACCAAAAAATTGCTAGAACTGATACTGAATATAGTCAAGTCGCAGGATATAAAATCAATTGTACAGAAATTAGTTTCATTTCTATACACCAATAATGAAGCAACAGAAAGAGCTATCATGAAATCGATCCCATTTACAAGTACACCAAGAACCATAAAATATCTAGGAAGAAACCTAACCAAAAAGGTAAAAGATCTGTATGCTGAAAACTATAGAAAGCTTACGAAAAAAATTGAAGAAGACACAAAGAAATGGAAAAACATTCCATGCTCATGGATTGGAAGAACAAATACTGTTAAAATGTCGATACTACCCAAAGCAATCTACACATTCAATGCAATCCCAATCAAAATAGCAGAGCATTCTTCTCAAGCTAGAACAAACAATCCTACAATTTGTATGGAACCACAAAAGACCCCGAATAGCCAAAATAATGTTGAAAAAAAAAAAAGCAAAGCTGGAGGCATCACAATCCTGGACTTTAGCCTATATTACAAAGCTGCAATCATCAAGACAGTATGGTACTGGTACAAAAACAGATACATTGACCAATGGAATAGAATAGAGAACCCAGAAATGGACCCACAAAGGTATGGCCAACTAATCTTCCACAAAGCAGGAATGAGTATCCAATGGAAAAAAGACAGTCTCTTCAGCAAATGGTGCTGGGAGAACTGGCCAGCAACAGGCAGAAGAATGAAATTGGACCACTTTCTTACACCATACACAAAAATAAACTCAAAATGGATGAAAGACCTAAGTGTGAGACAGGAAAGCATCAAAATCCTAGAGGAGAAAACTGGTAACCACCTCTTTGACTTTGGCTGCAGCAACTTCTTACTAGACACGCCTCTGAAGGCAAGGGAAATAAAGGCAAAAATGAACTATTGGGACCTCATCAAGATAAAAAGCTTCTGCACAGCAAAGGAAACAATCAATAAAACTAAAAGGCAACCAAAAGAATGGGAGACGATATTGCAAATGACATATTAGATAGAGGGTTAGTATCAAAAATGTATAAAGAACTTACCAAACTCAACACCCCAAAAACAAATAATCCAGTGAAGAAATGAGCAGAAGACATGAATAGGCACTTTTCCAAAGAAGATATCCAGATGGCTAACAGACACATGAAAAGATGCTCATCACTGCTCATTATCAGGGAAATACAAACCAAAATCATGTTGAGATACTGCCTCACACCGGTCAGAGTGGCTAAAATTAACAACTCAGGAAACAACAGATGTTAGCAAGGATGTGGAGAAAGAGGAACCCTCTTGCACTGTCAGTGGGAATGTAAACTGGTGCAGCTACTCTGGAAAACAGTGTGGAATTCCTATAAAAATCAAAAACAGAATTACCCTATGACCCAGCAATAGCACCACTAGGAATTTACCCAATGGATACAGGAGTGCTGATTCATAGGGGCATATGTACCCCAATGTTTATACCAGTGCTTTCAACAACAGCCAAATTATGGAAAGAGCCCAAATGTCCATCAACTGATGAACAGATAAAGGAGATGTGGTGTACACACACACACACACACACACACACACACACACACACACACACACACTGGAATACTACTCAGCAATGAAAAAGAATGAAATCTAATGTGGATGGAACTGGAAGGTATTATGCTAAGTGAAATAAGTCAGAAAAAGACAGATATCTTATTTTTTACTCATGTGTAATTTGAGAAACTTGATAGAAAACCATAGGGGAAGGAAAAATAAGTTACAGAGAGGGAGGCAAACCATAAGAGACTCGTAAATAGAGAACAAACTGAGGGTTGATGGGGGTGGGGGGTTGAGGTGGGGGGTTGAGCAGGGAAAATGAGAGATGGGCACTGAGGAGGGCACTTATCGGGATGAGCACTCGGTGTTGTATATAAGTGATGAATCACGGGAATCTACTCCCAAAGCCAAGACTACACTGTATAAATCTGCCAAAAATGAAACATAGGGTATTATTGTCAATGCTATTATAAATTACACTGAAAATCTAACACTGAAAATAAAATAATTTGATTTAAAACAAAAAAGAAAAAGAAAAAGAAAAAAAAATAGCCTGTGGTAATAGGGACCCAGAAAAATTCTTTTTGTCACAGGAAATTGAGCATCTTATCAGCCCAATAAAAGCCAAGGTAGAGCTCAGTCTGGAGAGCCTGATGGAATAATCTCAGGGACCTGTCATTGTATATTGCCACTCTAAAGTTTTTTATATGATGCAGTGCTCACTGCCCCTCTCTCAACATCATACTTCCTCACTGAATTACTGTTGCTTCTTTCACTCTTTCAGTCAACCAGTATAATCACCTGTACCTAAAACCCTTTGTATTGTTCTTCATTACTATTTGCAGAATATAAAATTAGACACAAAATAACATAATGAAAACACAGCATATCACTTTAAACAATGCCTATATAGGCAACTTCAGAATTGCATCTGTAGGTAGTCCAGACTTAGTATGTACTTACAGCCAAATGCATTGAAACATCATGACATTATCTTATTCATAAGATAAAGACATCTACTTTAATAGATTCTCTTTAATTCAGAATATCATGAGGGAAATGTGAATCACAGGAGGACTTATCATGAAAACACTAACAGAATCTTCCTATTCATATAAGCACCAACACAGTAAAGAATATTCAGTCACTTCTTTTACCTGTAGAAGTGAAAATGCATAGGTACTGTGTGAATCCTTAATTAACGCAAGAAAAGCCAATTATTTTTAGTACAAACTAATATATTTTATGCCAGTTTAAATTGTAAAATTGGAAGATGGCAAGAGTCATCTTCACTTTGAAGTTTTACTCCTGTCTCCTGATCTACAATCCTATCACTAGGTTTTACTATTCTTGTATATAGAAACTGGAGTATAAAGTGATGGAATGAAAGAGCATATCCAATTACCCACTAATTAATACTGTCCCTGAATAATCAATTGGGAAGTAGAAAGTACTTTGGTCTTATTGGAAAGTTTTACTCTTCTAGTCTCTGTTAATTATGGCTTCTAAGCTAGCTGTTTATCTTCAGATTTCTAACAATGTCCTAAGACATTTAAACTAGGAAAATTAATGACACCACTGACCCCTTGAAAATTTTAGTGAATATTATTTGATCTTTCAAGGGTGAAAACTAGATTAGTCATCAGATTTCAGATGCAGGTTTCATTCTTTAGAAAAACAATAAAACTAAGAAAATAGAGAATATAAATAATCACTACCAGATAAACATCAACATTAGATTTGAAGTGCAGAGTATAACATAAAGCACCAGTATCCTTAACCTCAGTGGTTACTCTTCAATACACTAAACCTACATTTTAGGCTGGAAATCTTTAATTCCTATTTTCCACAAGAAAATTTTTAAATGTAATTCCTTTAGGTCTGTCAAAATTACAGATGCAAAACCTTTCATCATCATAAGGAGTATAGATTGACAGATCTCTTGACAAAATTAGTTGGTGGATGGCTCCTAATTGGTTTGTCAACTTCAAATCATTGGTAATTTCAAACTTTAAAAACTTTGGGCTGATAGTTGGGGTGCCTGAGCTCTACTGTAAACTTGGCTGTTGACCTTCTATGAGACTTTGCTCAAGTTGCTTATCTTGTGCTTCAAGTGTCTTTTTTTTTTTTTTTTTTTTTTAGATTTTCTTATTTTAGATTTCAGATTTATTATTTTGGATTTTATTATTTAGTCGCATGCTCTACTGACTAGGCCAGCCAGGCACCCCTCAAGTGTCCTCACTTTAAATGGATAAAATAATACAGTCCTGTCCTATCTCACTATTATAACAAAAGCAAGATTATATGTGAACAAAGCACTTAAAGTTGTAAAGAATTTTTTAATAAAAAAGGCTATTATATAAGTATTTATAGTTTTCTAGTACTGTATCATCAGTGGACTCAAACGATCCAATGTTCATAGAGCTTCTTACACATCAAACAATCATGGAACAGTATGCTCAGTGATTAAAAATAGATCAGTTTGATCCAGTTAGAAATTGGTTAAGGAAGGTGAGTATATTCTAATTCTTAATTCCAAATAAAGACAACAAAATAAATACATAATGCAGATGTGTTTGTACACAGAATGTTTCACATAATTGCAGATACCAAGCTTTTTTTTTTTAACAAATTCAACCAGCATTATCTTATTTGAATATAGCAGGACAAAATTGGTATTTCTTTCCATCCTGAAAAAAATCATGTAAAAACTACATAAAGAATGATAAACACATTATCTCGTTTTTGGCAAAATTAGGAGACAAAACACAAAATTAGTAGAAAGGCTGCCCAAACAATAGAGATAGAGTAGGGGAACATGCTGTAGGCAGCAGAAAGAAAATTCCGCAGTTGAAGATGTCAGAAAGAACAAATTTCACTTCTTGAATGTGATGGGCACACCATAAAGTATAAATCCCTTATTTCTCTCAGTAGAAACAAGGTACATGGGCTGATAGTTGGGACTCTCCTGGATATGGTTTGGTCCCAAAAAGTAGAGGGGGACAGTGACACATAAAAAATGATATAAACAAACTATATTTGTTAAAAGAAGTCTGTCTCTGTGGCTATGGGAGAAAAGGGACTGTCTATGTGCATTGACTGGGGCAAAATAGAGGAAAAAAAAGAGGAAAATCTAATAGCCAAAAAGAATGTTCACACACACAAAACTGTTACTACAGAGCAGATGAAAATCATGCCAAATACTTCACCATTAATTAATGAAACTTAATTATGCAATCAACTCTAACTTGGATTTACAAAAAACAAAATTTTACTGTCTAGAAGGATAATAATGACTTAAACTAGTAATAGTCACTCACCTCTGATTCACATTTTATTTTTTCTTCTTGTAGAAGACGTGCAAATTCTTCTTTCTGGTGTTCAAATTCTGATTTAAGAAATGTATGTTCATAGCGGAGTTTATTATATTCTGTTCTATACTTTTCCACTTCCTAAATTAAAAGATTGCAATTTATGACAGACAAGTTTATAAATGAAATTTGTACTTACTCCAAAAATCGCTTTTGCAAATATAATTTTAAAGTGCATTATATTGAAAGCCATTCTAAAAAGTAAAAAATAAGCTTAACATAAGTATAAATAAACCCTGAAAAAAAATTTTATGACAAGAATCCTATATACAGAATCAGTACATTCTTAAGAAAGTGCCAATAAAGCAAATTATCATTCAATTAACCTTATTTCCTCACTGATTCTCATAATAATAAAAATGAATAGCACATCAACACTTTTGACCTCTGGGCTTAAAAAACTAATATTTAAGAATGTAGTACACCTTTCAAAACATAATTAATTTTTAAAAATTAACTCTACAGTAAAATAGAAAATAGCCTCCTGAAAGCCAGACAGGATGAATTCAAAGTAGATAAAAGATTATTTGAATATTTAGTACAATAACTTAAGGTTCAATCAAATAGTACAATGATAGGAGCGCCTGGGTGGCTCAGTTGGTTAAAGATCTGACTCTTGATTTTGGCTCAAGTCATGATCTCAGGTTGTGAGATCAAGCCCCTTGGAGGGACCCACACTGGGCGTAGGCCTGCTTAAGGTTCTCTTCCCTTTTATCCCTCCCAGCTCATACACATATGCTCACTCATGCCTAAAAAATAACAATAATAAATTATATATAGATACAATATGTGTTATATATAATATTACAATGATAGTTCAACACACCAGTCTAAAGAATATATGTAGTACCAACCTTTCTAACCAGGAATACATGCAACTCTCTGGTATGCTTCCAATTCTGCTTACTAACACTACCAAAGTTGCCAGTATTCTAAATCCAGTAACAACTCAGGCAATAGAGAAGACGAAGGAGATACTATTTCAACATTCATCAGGTAATTAAGTAATAAGAATGCCTCCTAAAATACTCAGATCACTGTAAGTCTTTAGTTGAAAGATTTCTCTAAGCCAGTTTACAAGCCAAGAAAATGGGTTTCATGATTTTATTAGAAACATACTTTTTTTTAAGGTTTTACTTAACTTGATTGCCTATTTTAAGTCTAAGTGGCTTTGTTTACATCCCAAAAATAAGTCTCCTCTCAACCGTAATGCTTTGGTTATCCACCAGGAGGATATTCAAAAGACAACTTTATCAGGCCAATAAGCCACTTATAAAAGTGGATTCTACAACTGTTTCTGTGCAATGCAGCATCACTAAACTACAGCTTTCCAAACAGATTCATCTGGAAGGGGACAATATTCATTTGTTATGTAGAAGTCCTGGTCTATTTGTTAAATAAGGTTGCATATATAAGTTGTCAAGCATAGTACTTAATATACGTCATCTTTTCCTATTCCATTGATTAAACATTTAGTCATATTATACCAATATCTCATAAAAGGAAGGAAACCTTTCAATCTAAAGGAAAACTGTAACAAATTTTTATTTTTATGAGGTTGCATGAAATATACTCTTTCATTCCACAAATATTAATTGAGCACCTACTGTATGCCAGGAACCATTCTAGGAACTTGGAATATACAATGAACCAAACAGATAAAGGTTCCTTCTCTCATGCAACTTACATTCTAGAGATGGTAATATAGAAAATATAAATATTATACATCATATGAGAACATGATTAGTACTAGAGAAAAATAAAAAGTAGAGCAGGGTAAATGGGGATCCAAAGGTCTAAGAAGTGATGGGAAAGGCAGGAAGAAAATTAAATGGAAATACTAGTCAAAGTTGGCCTCATTGAGAAAGTGACATTTCAATAAAGACTTAAAAGAGAGGAGGAAGTTGGCCAAGAGATATCTGGAAGGACACTGTTCATGTCACAAGTAAGAGCTAACACAAAGATTCTTGATTTGTTCCATTTCTGGAGTGCCAAAGAAACATCAAAGAAGCCAAAGTGGATGGAGGAAAGGAAGTCGGACAGATTATGGGACCTCATCTTGTGCAGCCCTAAAAGTAAGGATTCTTAAGTTAGAAGAGGTGCTACTGCAAGGCTTCTAAGAAGAGGGATAATGGTTTTAATCAGTCACATAAAGACAAATGCACAGTTCCTTCCATATAAATTACTTACTTCATCCAGATTCCTAAAACGTTCCCTCATTGGAGTTTCTAATTCTTGTTGTATCTGGGCTCGTAACAGTTCCAACTTTTGTGGAGTTAACACCTAATATGTAGAGAAATATAAAACAATTCTAAATATGAAATCACAAATATTAAAATCAAGAATTCACCAAGTTTCAACACCTAAATAAAACAATAAAATTCAATTCATAGAAATTATGCAATATACTTAACTTTACAGTAATCACTACATAAATAGAACCATTATTTGAAACAATACTTTAAGATCACAATTTCAGGGCCTCAGAGATGTCAAAAATCCCATTAACATGAGGTAAAGATACTCCCTATTATTACTATGACTGTTGAGAATAACTATGTTGGCAGCCTAGGTTACCATGCATGATACAACAGCTAACTATTTTCTAAAGCAATTAAAATAAAGGTGTAATAATTTGGTATATCACAGAGAATTCTTAAGACTTTTTTTTTTTTTAAGTTTATTTCTTTTTGAGAGACAGAGTGAGTGGGGGAGGGACAGAGAGAGAGGGAGACACAGAATCCAAAGCAGGTTCCAGGCTCTGAGCTGTCAGCACAGGGCTCGAACCCACAAACCAGGAGATCATGACCTGAGCCAATGTTGGACACTTAACCAACTGAGCCACCTAGATGCCCCTCTTCAGATTTTTTTTTTTTTAATTTTTATTTTTAATTTTTATCTTCAGACTTCTTATTTTCAATCAGAAAAGGCTGATTTTTACTCTGGCCACCAAAACAAGGTTCCTCCCTATTATAGCTCTCTGATAGAACTCAGATTTTAGTAAGTAATTACGTATTTAAGTAAGCTCTGTAAGGGCAAACACAATCCCTATTCACCATGGTGTATTTCCAACACCACACACTACTGCCTGGCACATAGGATCACTCAATTATTATTTCTTGAAAGAATGAACGAATACTGGTTATAAGACAAAAACCTAGTTTATATTTACATTAATCTCTGAAAATGAAGAATAATACTCAGTTTAATTCATTCATTTATTCATCAATACTCCACACAGCCCAGAAACTTTCCAGAATACTTACTATACATAGCATTCTGCAATATATTATATAATCTACATAACATGCTGTTCTAAATACCTTACATGCATTTACCAATTTATTTAAACCTTGCAATGATCCTCAATGTAGCTATATTATCATCCTTTTTTTTACAGAAACTGAAGTATACACAGAGCCTAACTTTCTAAAGATCACAAAAACTCACAGGAAACATTTCTAACTCTGTAAGAAGTTCAAACTCTCATATGAAAAATAACTTATGCATACAAATAATTACAAAAATAACCAATATAAGCTCATCAAACAGGTAAAAAGAGAAGATTTTTATGTATAGAAATAGTGGCACATCAAAGGAATAGGAAAACTAAAGCTTCAATAGAACACAAAAACTAAGAATGGTTAACATTTTAAATTCCTTGGGGAGGAAAATGATCCTCAAAGTTAAGCTAAAGGCATTTTGAATTGAACCACACTAAGCACCATAGACAATTTAGAATCCTGGATCCCTGTGCATTAATACTCTCTAGATACTATGATGATCAAGGCCATGTTGAAACATTTCCAAATGCCACCTAGCAGAACTGCACCCTGGCTAGGAACAAAAGGGAAGGGTACAGAGTAGAAAATTCCTAGGTATGAGGTTTACACTCTTATAATTTACTCAGTATTCAGTAGTACTTTTTAAAAAAAAAAATGTTTTTTACTTAAAATGAATATAACTACATAAATAAAGTAATTGAAACAAAAAATATTAAAAACCTAAGTCTTTTTTACTTCAGTCATCCAGTTTCCCTCTTAAGAAGCTATCATTGCTAGGGGCACCTGGGTGGCTCAGCCGGTTAAGTGTCCAACTTCAGCCCAGGTCACAGTCTCATGCTCCGTGAGTTCGAGCCCCGCGTCAGACTCTGGGCTGACAGCTCAGAGCCTGGAGCCTGCTTCAGATTCTGTGTCTCCCTCTCTCTCTCTGCTCCTCCCCCGTTCATGCTCTGTCTCTCTCTGTCTCAAAAGTAAATAAACATTAAAAAAAAAAAAAAAAGAAGCTATCATTGCTAATTTTTATGTATTCTTCTTGAAATAATATACAAATATATACACACACACAACTTTTAATTTTTACATCAAGAAAGGCATGCTATACATATGTCTCTGTGCCTTGGTTATTCACTGAAGGTATTCAAGCTTAAGAATGGCATCACCAGATCTACATTTTAGGAAGAAGCAAAATGGATCAAAACCTTTGGCAGGAGAAAACTGGTGACTATGGGGGGAAAACAATTTCAGTGAATGGAGTTGGGAAACCAGATAGAAAGCTCTTGTTACAATCTGGTTTATGATGTCAAGAGTCTGGGTAATAGCATCAGGAGTCCAAACTGAGAAGAGGTGGTAATTAAAAGGAACAGAGTAATAATAGATAAGCCTTATTTGATTCCTGTTTCAAAAAAACCAACTTTAAGCAAGCAAAACTGTGGGAAAATGAGGGAAATGTCAACAAAGATGCAACATAAATAAGATATTAAGGAATAAGTACTTTTAGGTATGATAATGGCATTATGACTATGCTTTTAAAGGAGAGATTGCCTTGGGATGTAATAAAGATACATACTAAAATATTTTGAGTTGAGATAATATGATTTGTGTCAAAATCATCCAGAGTGGTTCAAGGACAGAGCAGGGATGTCAGAAGATAAAACAAGACTGGTTGAGAGATGGTAATTATTGAAATTATTGATGGTGGGTGATGGGTATGTGAGGATGCAATACAACCACCCTCTCTACCTCAGGGCTTGTTTGAGACTTCTGTAATTAAAGGTTAATTAGAAATAAAAGTGCTTCCACTTCCAACAGATGGCATAAAAGAAATCAGATTTATTCTCCTGCTAGAATAAAAGAAGCGACAAAAATCCGTTGTCAAGACAATGGGCCTAATAAAGCAACAGAGATCTCTGAGAGACAAACAACAAAGAAAGTAAGCTTTGAGAATGCTGCCAGCCACAGGAAGAGATACCCAGGCGATGTCTGATAGACTCTCTGACCTAAGCAAATGGAACTGAGAATCCAGAAGGAGCAGTGTGGCAAGAGTCACAAGACAGGGTACCAGAAAAGAGGGTGGCACACAAAATTATGAAGACCTGCAAAAGGTCCCTGTTGACTCATTCAGTAGAGTACCCCAATCAGCACATGCATGTAAAGAAAATATTTAATTAGGGCCAGGAAAAGAACAATCTGAAAGAATTAGATGGATAAGTAATCTGAACTCACACAGAGGTATGAATAGTTGTTTTTCCCAAAAGTCAGGCTGAAAAACTTCATTCCACTGAGAAATGAGTACTGAGAAGGTTCTCAGTATTGACAAACAAGGAGCGCTAAACATTAACCTGCTCTCAACCAATCTTAAAAGCAAGACTCAGAAAGATGAAACTGCTTCCAAGTAACTGTCCCAGAACAGTTTTTGTCCCAGAGTTTGTCCCAGAACAAAGCTCAAGAATATTTACCAGAACACAAAGCCATCTAGTATTCAAAATAAAATTAACAATGTCTAGCATCCAAAAAAATTTATCAGACATGCAAAGAAGCAGGAAAATATTACCCACAATAAACAAGAAAATCAACCAACCAAAACTAACTCAGAAGTGATACAGATTTGAGAATTAGCAAAGACATTAAAAGTTATTATAATTGAATTCCATATGTTCAAAGAGAAAATATTGAACATGTTAAGTAGATATAAGGAAGGTATGAAAAAGATCAAAATTGGACTTCAGATTAAAAACTACAATTTCTGAAATGAAAATACACCATACGGGATTAATGGCTGCTTAGACACTGCAGAAGAAAACAGATCAGTGAACTTGAAGACATGACAACAGAATCTATCCAAAATGCAACAAGGAGACAAAAAAGATTGAAAATAAATGAACTGAGAGTGAACTATGGTAGAACTTTAAGTAGCCTAATAATGGGATCACCAAGAAGATCAAAGAAGGCAGAAAAAACTTTTTTCTGAAGTAAAGTACAACAATTTTCTATATGTGATAAAAACTGTAAGCCCATAGACCAAAGAAGCTCAATAAATCCTAAGTACCAGAAAGATGAAGTACAAGGCAGGTCAATCAAATTGCTCAATATCAGCAATAAAGAGGAGGGCCTGGCTGGCTCAGTCAGTAGAGCATGCAACTCTTAAAATCAGAGTCGTGCTTCAAGCCCCACATTGGGTGTGGAGCCTACTTAAAAAAATAAATTCAGCAATAAAGAGAAAATCTTAAGAGCAGCCAAGAAAAAAAAGACTCACTGCATACACAGAACAAAGATAAGAATGACAGCAAATTTCTTATGTGAAAAAATATCTGCGAAAAGAGAGAGCAATACCTTTAAAGTACTAGGGAGACAGTCAACCTAGAAATCAATACTCAGCAAAAATACCTTTAAAATCAATTATTTTTTGATATATAAGAGCTGAAAAAAATTCTCACCAATAGATCTGTACTATAAGAAACGTTAAAGAAAATCTTTAAGAAAGTAGAAAAATAATACAAATGGAAATATGGATCTACACAAAAGAGAAAAGAACACCGAAGTTGGTAACTACAAAAGAGTCTTATGATCTATAAGCTCTCTGATAAAAGTCTCTGTAAGATTTTTTTTTATCTCTTAAGAATCTTCTAAAAAACAAGCACACACACTAAAAAAAAAAAAAAAAAAAAAAAAAAATCTATCCTCCTCCCTCCCCCCACGAAAACACACATAGAGTTAGAGAGTTTTCCCCATGTTATTTTAGGAGGAAAGTATGCTGTGTCTTAGACTTCTAATGGAATACTGCCACCACTTGTCTCAAAAGAAATTTAACAAAAATGTGTCATTACCTATATTAAATCTGTATTATACCAACACTTGTTATGTTGATAAAAAACAGACCAATTATTTTCCAAAGAATGCTTTAACTTAAGAAGGCAAATACTGCTGTGCCAGAGGTTCTTAACAAGTTAATGACAAACTGAATAATGAATTTTGCTGAGCTTCCTAGCAGCCAAATAAAATGGGAAAAAACTGGCTTATAAAGTTTCAATTGCCTGGCAGCATAAAGAAAGCACATACGTTTCTGGTAAAGTGACTTTTAAAATTTGTATCAGAAAATATATCAAATAACTCATATTAAAAAAAAAAGGTTTGGCTAACATGGTACATAACAATAACAATAGCTAACATGTTCTAACTACTTATTATATCAAAGCACTGTACCAACACTTCCTATGCATTGTCTCATTTCATCTTTACAATCATCCTAAAAGTCCGACACTATTACTATTCCCATTCACTACAACTACACCAATGAGACAGAAATATTCTGACTGTCTTTTCTATCACTTTTCTATAAAAGCCAAAGGGGTATTAAATCTTAACTCAGAAAAGGCATTCTGCAGGTAGACAAGATAATACATGTTTATTCTGAAAATCACCTTTCATAAACATTTATTAAAATATTTCTTGCTGATTCTACTTTGTTGAATTGACTTTATTCAACCCACAATTTGTACAAATTGCAAACATCCATAAAGCAAACAGCTACATTGCTTCAACATGTGTATATAAATATATAGAGAGATCTTTCTTTAGTTTATTTTTGCCAGATACATATCATATAGAAACCAGTTATGTTTATCTTGAAAAGCAGAAACTTTACCAGATAAATTATATTTGCCAATGAACATCTGGGAAGTTATCACATGGAGAAATGTCCTAAGTTATTTTGTGTAGATCCAAGGAATAGCACAAGAACCAACAGAGAGACCACAGGGAGGATGATTTCATTTCAACATGAGCGGGAAAATATTTAACACACTCCAATCCATAAATGGAACTGGATCACTTTAAACATTCACTGGGTTCTCTTGCACTGAAAGCAATGAAGCAGAGAATAAAAATCCCTGTGTCACAAATGTTCTAAAAAGGAATTCTGCTTTGGATAGTGTGTTAGTTTCCTAGAGCTACCATAACAAAATACCACAAACTAGGTATCTTAAAACAACAGAAATTTATTGTCTCACAGGCTAGAAGTCCAAAATCAAGGTGCCAGCAAGGCCACACTCCCTCTGAAAACTGTAGGGAAGGATCCTTCTTTGCATCACTCTAGCTCCTGGCGGAGTGCTGGTGATCCTGGCCATTCCTTGGCAGTTGCAGCACTTGGATCTCTGCTTCTGTCACTATAGGATTATTCTCCCCACCTCCCCCGCTGCCCTCACCCATGTTACTGTCTTTGTGTCTGTTCTCCACTTCTTCTAAAGACACCAGTCATACTGGATTAAGGACCCATCATCCTTCAGTATGACCTCATCTTAACTAATTACATCTGCAAAGACTCTATTTTCAAACAAGGTCACATTCTGAGGTACCGAGCATTAGAAATTCAACATACCTTTTTGGCAGACACAATTTAACTCATGACAGACAGGAAAAAATGAGAGAATTATCTAAGATGCTTAAGCTTTAGGTACATATGAGAGAAGAACATTGTATTATATACGAACAGAACATTTCCAATTCATTCATTTGTTCTATTTACTCATGTCATTCATTTGACAAATATTTGCTACTATGAAATATATAAGTACAAATATAAATATACTTGAGCACTGGAGACACACTGAAAAAAGCTCCTGCCCTACGGAGGCTGCATTCAAATAGAGTAAAAATAGCCATCATTTATGAGTATCTATCTATTCTGTCAGACATTGTACTAAAAATCTACATGTTATTAGTCTTCACAACAACCTGTTAGTTAACAACTTTTACCCTCTTTACATGACAAAACGAAGGCATAAAAACCACTGTTTGTTGAAGGCCATCATCTCATTGGTGAACTGACCCATTTTTGGTTATAAAAATGACCTTTTTATCTTAAGTGACACTCTTTTTGTCTAGAAGTCTATTTTATCCGATACTAATGTAAACACTCCAGTCTTCTTAAGCTTATTGTTTGTATGCACTTGGTACAAATAGCATGTCTAGAAGTTACTCTGAAGAAACAGAGTAATTATATCTACAATGCCTAAAGAATACTTTGAATTCCTTGGGTTCAGTGCTCACGGATTCTCATTTACGTAGGTCTCTGACTATTGCAGAACAAATTAATCCACCAGTTCTATAGGCTTGAATTACATTTCCCAACTCAACTCCTATTTCTGAGGTTTTTATTTGTTTAAATGTCCCAAATATACCTAGGAATGAAACAGCACAGGAGAGGCTCCAACCCAAGCTTAATGGTGGTGTTTCCAACAACGGAAGATTTCAAGACACTGAATGACCAACTTTTAACACTGCTGTCAAAGAAATCCATGAATTGGGTGATAACGCCATACTTACTAGATGAAAGGTAGCTTTTTACTCTATCAACTTACAATTCCAGTATTAAAAATACCTTATTATTTGTGCCAAGCACTTGATAAGCAGAAATACACAGTTGGTGTCACTTAGAGATTAAATGAATACAGGAGAATTATCACTGCTAATATCTACTAATTTGAAATTTATGGTAAGTTTGACTGGTGCTATAGTTAAGTTTGGCTCTGGTCTATTTTCTAGGCAAATGAGAAATGAAACTATAATCACTACTTCAGTATCAACTATTTTTTGCTTTAGAAACACCATTTACCTTCCATTACACACATAAATTATGTGCCCATATTGTTTTCATAGCCTTTTAAGTGGCCCCTTAAAAATAACTATCAGTCTTGTGAACTATACCTTAATAATAAAAATAATTTTTAATAAAAAATAAAACCTTAAAAAAACCTATCAGCTCAGTTTCAGTCATTATACTTAAAGGAAAATTAGTAAAACTTTAAAAAATACTCTTTAACTCTGAATATTTATCAATTCAAACCAGTCTTTCCCCTAATTATTCTGAATAGCACAATACCTAAATCAGAACAGATAATTTAATACAAATTTGCATAAAATAACAGCTTCATGGTTAAACCCTATGTGGTAGCTAACATTCTAGAATATATGAAAGAATATTAAATTATACCACCTGGAAATATAGCAAAATACTCATTAAGAATACAGGCAGAACTCACCAAATTTACCAGTATCTGACTACTTTTGTACCATAGGCACAGAGGGCAGGCTTCCCCAAGATGGGCCAGTTGGCATGAAGATTATTTTGACTTCAAAGTAATCAAAACCCCACAGAGATTCAGGAAAAGCTCTTTACTTCTCCCTCAACTGCCTAAATTTAATTGGAAAGGAGAACCTATACGAAGAGGAGAGCTATTAACAGAGGTTCCTCTGTTAATAAATTTGACTACTTAACAGGGCAACCTTTGTCTTCCAAACATCTCCTCTCACCATCCTGATAATGATCTTCTTTCCCCTGTATCCCCAGACTTGATGGGTCTCCCTAGCTCAGGATGTCACATAAGCATCCTGTTGCCTGCCTCTGGAATTCTGTGTGTGTGGATTCTGAATACTTACCAAACTAAATTTGATTTTCTTTTGTTAATTTGTCTCATATCCATTGGATTCTGAGTCCAGCTTAGAAATACTTTGAGGTGCAGAGGAAATTTCTTCCCAATAGTACTCACTGAAATATGTCTTCTTACCTGCAGTTTCATTTCTTCTAAGTCTTTAGTTTTCTCTACTAATTCCCCTCGTAGCTCTTCAAGCAGCAGCTGAAATTTTTCCTGGTGAGTTTGCTTTTCATTTAATAGGCGCTTGAGTTCATTTTGTGACTTTATGTACTCATCTTGCAACCTGATTTAAAAAAAAAAAAAACAAAACTCAATTTTAAGGATATCCTTTACTTTCTAATGACCTTACTTTATGTAAAATCAACCAACACTACAGAACAAGACCTTATTCCGTTAAATTCACAAACATCTTTTCTTTATAGAGTTTCACTTAATTATTAACACTGTAGTTTATAAATATTTTACTTAAGGGGCGCCTGGTGACTCAGTTGGTTAAGCATCTGACTCTTGATTTCAGCTCAGGGTATGATCTCACGGTTCATGGGTATGAACTTCGTGTCATGCTCTGCACTAACTGTGGAGCCTGCTTGGGATTCTCTCTTCCCTCTCTCTGCCCTCCCCCCACCCTCTCTCTTTCAAAATAAATACAATTTTACTTGAGGGGGAAAAACACACTGAGCCACCTAGATACATTTAATTTTCTAGGTCTTGCTACTTTCAAAGCAAGACTTTCATCAACTCAAAAAACACTTGAGATCATGGTTAGTTTTGAATTAACTAATTTTAAAGTGAAAATTTTACTATTAAAAAGTTTTAAAACTATATACTGCAAACTAACAAAAATATACTGTATGTTCCAGAACAAATTCAGACAAAAAAATATTTAATAAGGCCCCTCACCTCCAAATTTAAGCAATTTACCTTGTGTGTTCGGCTTTAAGAGTCTGATAGTTAGTTTTATGATGTTCACATCGTAACCTTTCATCAATTAACATTTTTTGCACCTCGGACTGAGAATATGTCAGCCCACTGTCTCCACCAGGAGGAAATGCGGTGGGAAAAGTGTCCATACTGTTAAGTGAGCAAATCACCATGTAAAAGTAAGTTCTGGCTTCCTTATTGTCTTAGTTTTCTTTTCAAGAGTATTTTCCACTTCCTTCTTGCTAAGACAGACACTCAGGATACCAAATTATACCTGCACAGAGAAATGAACTTGGTTAGTGATGAGTTAAACTCTTTCAGTGTTACAGTCTTTTTATCATTTCTTGTTATTCAACTATCACTTCTATAACAAAGCCCAATTTTCAGATTTCTAATTGTTCATAAAACAAAAAGAACAAAGTTGAATCATACCTTAACAAACTTTCTTTACTTCCACACCAAGCTTATGTGACCATCAATTTCACATCTTCAAGTACTGACCTAACTAGAACGACCAACTTTTCCAGTTTAGGTCCTCTTGGATTCACAAACCACAGATAGTTCCTGAAGCTACTGGAGTAAACTTGAAAGAAAGATCCTAGTACAAAATCCACACTGTGAAATCAGGGGAAAAGCCATCTGTAACTTGACAAATGGCTAGAGAAAATTATAATGTTCACAAAGATGACCTTCAACAAGTAACTATGTCTGTGATTAATCCTACAAAGGGTCTTTTATTTGACACAAGGTGAGCTGTACTCATGCTATTGACTCAGAAGAGAAATCAGTCCACACATAAATGTTGATCACCTATGTGTTTGCGCTGTACTATGAACAGGAAACTAAATCACCCCAGCTATCCCCAAAAGCACTGATCCAGGATTATGAAAGTAACTGTTTGTCTAGAAGTAAAAAATAAGGACAAAGTGTTTTTATTGTAAATAATTAAAAATGAAAGTTTTAATCAAAACAATTCTGCCCCCTTTAGCTTTCTTGATCTTTGTCAAGACTATTTTATCTTTCCCTAATAGCATCTCCACTGGTCATGGGTTATCATGAAATACCTTTTCTTTCTACAAGAAAAGATCTTTAGCATACACAAACCAATGGCAAATTACTCAGTCTCTCTTGTATTATACCATTTCTGATAAATTAATGTGATGTCTGCATATTACCTAAGATGACTTTTAAACTAAAATAAAGTTACTTTGGTTTCCTGTCAAATCACATTTTAACAGAAGGAAAGAAGTCCTTCAAGAAAACTTCACATATTATTCATGTTAAATGTGCAACAGTGCACTGTTTGTAGCAGCTGCCACAGTATTATCCTGTCAAAAGTATACATGTGTCAGGGAATTAACTAACTGGATCATAAAACTGGCACATAATTTTGACTCTGCTTTTTGATCCAAATTAATTTTTAAGAGATAGAAACATGCAATGTTAACTTATCTCATACTTTCTAATGATACCACCAAAAGGCATTATAAGGCTTTAATTTTAACTAGCTAAAAGCTTAAACTACATAAGAAAAAACCAACAGCTACCCTTTAGTCCCACTACTAGTGAAACAAAGATTTCCAAGATAAAATGAATAATTTTATTTTCTATTCTAGTTGACAGCAAGTATTCTAACTCCTATGTTAAAATGGAAGTTAAGGGTGGCTCAGTCAGTTGAGCGTCCGACTCTTGATTCCAGCGCAGGTCATGATCTCATGGTTCGTAGGTTCGTGCCCCACGTCGGGCTCTGTGCTGACAATGCTGAGCCTGCTTGGAATTCTCTCTCCCACTCCCTCTGCCCCTCCCCCCCCACCCACGTGCACATGCATGCGTACCTTCTCTCTCTCAAAATAACTAAACTTTTAAAAAAATAAAATAAAATGGAAGTTAAGTCCCCATAGAAATAAAATTCAATAAGACCTGGATATTTTAGGAAAATAGAGTTAATGATTTAAATTCTTCCCTTCTGGCAGTAAAATCTACTACAAGTAGTTTTCAGGACTTCACTAATTGCAGGATATCCATTTCTTAATCAGCACAACCATTACCTTGTTAACCTTAAAAAACAAAAATAAAAACAAAACAAAACGAAACAAAACAAAACAAAAAGCAGTGTTTCTTCTTCTAGCTGGTATAGTAAAGTAGCATCCAGGTACAAGGTCAAGTCCATCTCTTCCTGTTGGGTCTACAATTGGTAGGGAATGAGAGCTCCCCTTGCTGAACCTCCCAACTTCATTTTAATGAGGTTTCCCATTATTAGTTTTCATAACCTCATCTCCAAATCTAGTTCTGTTGCAAATGTATCTGTATTGCCCTCTGGTATTTTCTTGACTCAAAGTTATGAACTCCTGGGTTTCATCTGCCAATAGTCTTTTTCAGACTTTTCTCCTCTGTTAATTTCAGAATCACAGAAAACTATCTGCTTATTTGCCAAGTCTTACCAAGGTCAGAATGAATTTTTTATCTGTTTTTCGGTATTTTGCAGATATATTGTCCTCCAGTTCAGCAGTAATCAATTTATCAATGAAAATCTTGGAAAATATAGTTATGGTAGTCCTCCAAGAAGATATCTAGTAACATAGACAGAAAGGCCCCATAAAACATAAGTCTTTCTCTGAACTTCAAAAGTGGTTCCACAATTCTATATTCAAGCTTACAAAGAAACAACTTCTAAATTTCATGCTAATTATATAAGGAGGCTTTTAGCAAAAAACAAAAATCCCAATTAGCTAAACACTGTGGGAAGTGTTTTACCAATCTCTTATACCAAGAAATCTGAAGATAGCCTTCACTTCCAGTAATAAAGGACTAGGTAATTTAGATCATGCGTCCTGCCTAGGACAAGAAAATCTGGACATATGTTTTAAAAATCTGCTTGAAGACACTGGAAAACTAACAACAGAATAAATATTTACTGAAATGGGAACAAGGGAAGATGGGAACAAGGGAAGATGTGAACGCAGAAAGAGGAGACTGGAATTTGGGAGCACTGTTCTCCTAGGGGCATTTGCCAGTTCCAGAGACTGGGAGACTGAATGCCTTCTGACAGTCTTCGTATTCAAAGACACAGACTAGAACGGCAAGGAGAAGGCCTGGTGAACACCCCCCTCCATTTTGGATACAGACTTTAAAGGCTTACCCTTATTATTGCTACTAAGGGTAATTCAGGTGAATTATATTAGAATAGGCTGCAACTTGCTCTAAAAAACAATTTTACAAATAAATATGACACAATAAAATTTTTTTAGAAATTTTAAAACTCAAGTCATGGGAAGATAAGAGAACATGAACTAAAGTCACAAGAAGCAAAAGTATTTAAATAGATAACATGAGAGCCTCACTATCAGAGCTGTCAGACAACGATTCTAAAAGAATTTTTCTTATAGTAATATTATGTATAAGACAATAGGAAACAAGGTTGAGAATCTTGTAAGAGAATTCAAAACCATAGAAAGAAACCAATGTAAACTCTAACACGGAAAAATTCTATAACCAAAAGTAAAAACTCAATGCACAAGCAGCATAACAGCCAAGATAAAACATACTTTAAGAAGGAATTAGAAGTTAAAAGAAAATATTCAAGATAAATTAGGAAGAGAAACAAGAATGAAAAATACAAAAAAGGAAATAAATACAGAAAATAAAGTTAAAATGTCATTCTAACAGATATGCCATTGAGTCCTAGAAGGAGAGAGGAGAGTATAGAAGCAATACCTGCAAAATAAATAGACAGGTAAATAGATACTTGAGAACCTCCCCCAAAAATGTTCTAAAAACCCCAAAGACATAAATAAAAAGAATTCCACCTACATCACATTAAGAAATCTGCACCTAAGAACATCACCTTGAGATCTTCCTAAAGAAAAAGGGAAAATCTTAAGATCAGTCCAGAAAAGAGACGTGTCTTGAAAATAAGCAATAGAACTGACTTCAACAATGAAAGCCAGAACACGATACCTTTATAGTGCTGAAAGAAAATAACTGCCAAACTAACATTCTATAAATATAGCAAAAAAAAGGAAAATCTTTAGAGAACAGTGGTAAAATAAAGACATTTTCAGACAAATGGAACAAATTCATCCCAGAAGATGCACAGCAAAAGAAACAGTAAAGGAGTCTTCCATACACAAGGAAAATTACCTTAGATGTGAACTGGACAATGCAAAAATAAAGATAAATGAAAACTGGAAATATGTGCATAATTCTAACTGGACACAGACTGCATAAAATAATACCTTAGGATTTCGTAACAGATATAGTCTTAGAATACATAAAGAAATGGCATCTAAGTCAGTAAAGGTAGAATTACAAGTGTTACAGAGCCCTTGCACTGTATAGGAAAGGCTAAAAGTATCAATGAATATTACACTTTGAGAAGTCAAAGATGCATAATATAATCACTAGGAAAGGGGTGGGAAAATTATAGCTCATGAGCCACATTTGGCCTGTATTCTTCTTTCGCATAGTCCCAAGCCAAGAATGTTTTAAGAGCTTAAAAAGAAAAAAAAGAAAAACAATGAATACAGATGAAAAAATCCTCAACAAAATATTAACAAGTTGAATCCAATAATGTATAAAAAGATTTACACATCATGACCAAGTAGAATTTATTCCAGGCATGCAAAGCTGGTTCAACATTTAAAAAACGTCAATTAACGTAACCCATTACACGAATAGACTAAAGCAAAAAAATCACACGATCTTATCACTAGATGCAGAAAAAGTACTTGACAAAATCCAATACCCATTCATAATTTTAAAAACTCAACAAACTAGGTATGGAGGGGAACTTTCTCAACTTGATAAAGAACATGTATAAAAACTCTACAGCTAACATCATAGAGGTGAGAAAATAGAAATTTTTCCACTAAGATCAAGAACAAATAAAAACGTTCCCTCTCACCACTTCTTTTCAATATCATAATGGGAAGTCTTAGCTAATGTATTAAGCCAAAAAAAAAATAAATAAATAAAACACATACAAATACAGAAGGAAGAAATAAAACTGTCTTTCTTTGCACAGGACATGATTATCTGTGTAGAAGATCAAATTTTAAAAAAATACTCCTGGAACTGATAAACATTATAGCAAGGTTGCAGGATAGAGTTAACACAAAAAAGTCTATCAGGGCACCTGGGTATCTGAGTCAGTTAAGAATCCAACTCTTGGTTTTGGCTCAGGTCATGATCTCATGGTTCCCAAGTTCAAGCCCCCCAGCGGGCTCTGCACTGACAGTGCAGAGCGTGCTTTGGATTCTCTCTGTCTCCCTCTCT